AACACCCAACTATAAATAGGAATTTTCCACTCGAGATAAGGGACTTTTAGAAGAACACTCCTTGAATACTTCTTTGCACTATCTCTTCGGCCCAGACCAACATATTTCAACCTACTCAGCCCATCCATCTCTTTCTTTACCCAATTGCCTTGAGTGTCGGAGTACCTACCCAGGGAATATCTCCTTGGGATTCTGACCTTTCTCCTGGTTACAGATCTAAGTGTGCAACTTCATCCTTCCACCTCGGCCTTGTCTAGTTGGTAGGATTATCTGATTGCGTCCTTAATTTGAAACATCTCAGATCGGACAGCATCACTATGGACTGGTCCAATGTAATATGTCATTTTGCTTCATTCAATCTGTTCAAATTGATTTTGATTTGGATGGGGTCCAACCCAAAACTGGTCCATTGACACCCCTACTTGTAATGCGTGTGTTGTAATTTATGACATTTGGTCAAACGGTTAAATGTTTAACCATTTGGGTGAGCAATTTTTGACTTTTTTAATATTTTTTAGCAAATCCTTGTTCAAGGGATAGTCAAACCCAGAACCATGACCATTTTCCAATTTGAATGGTCCAACAATCTAGATAAATAACACTTTTTAAACCATGGCTTAGACTTCAAGTGGAATTACACCATTGGTTTGAAGAACCAAGGATGCTCTATGAAATACTAGCAAAACAGCCGCAAAAAAAAAAAAAAAAATTCAGGTCCTATCAAAGCCCGAGAATAAGGAAATTATGGCTAAAGTTGTTGTTTTCTTGAGGCTAATATGGGATGCTCGAAACATGAATAAGGCAAGGGGACCCTTTGTCCCCTTATCTTTTTGTTCTATGTTGTGAACCACTTGCAAGACAAGTTAAGAACCTATCAATGGGTCTCAAAGAAAATTTAGGAATAAAAATAACGAAAAATGGGCCTAAAATTCCTCTACTTCAATTAGTTGATGACTACCTGGTTTTTTATAAATAAAATCTAGAAGTGGGTCATGTAGTTAAGAATGTCCTTGAAGAATATGCAATAACCTTAGGGAAAAAACAAAATTTTCAAAAATCCATTATGTTATTCTCAAAATAATTCCTCTCTATTCTGCAAAGAATAATTGCAAGACTAACTAGAATCCTTAAGACTAATAAAGGTGAAAAGTACCTTGGGGCCCCAATCATAACAAATAGGGTAACAAGGAAAACCTTTGCAAGAGTTATTGAAAAATTAAAAATAAAATTGGAGGGATGGAAAGAAAAAAATGCTATCTCTAACTGGCAAAATTACCCTTCTTGAAGTAGAGGTTGGTAATTTACCTCAGTATCAAATAAGCTTCAAAGGCAGTTCTTAGGGAGAAAAAAAGAGAATAATAAATCCTTTGCACTCACAAATTGGAATAAATCAAGCAAATATGATGAAGTTGGGGTGTAAAATTATCAATGATGAGTCAAACCTGTGGGTTAGAGTGGTTAAAAAGAAATATTTAAAACAAAGGGATTTCCTTGAACACTCCCCCTAGATTTATTTCTTGGGCAAGGTAAAAGATAACCCAACAAAAAGATGAAGTAAAAAATGCAATAGTTTGGTGTATAGGGATTGGTCGTAAATGCAATTCTTGGATGGATAAGTAGGTAGGAGCAAGGGCCCTAAAGGACTTGATACAAGATAAGGAATGAGAAGGAGAAGATTTAATAGAAAGTCAAAGAATTCATATATCAGGAGTATAAATCATAGGATCAAGACAAGTTCATTGAGTTTATTCCTCAAAATTTAGTAAATAAAGTTAGAGCCATACAACTTGCTTATGGTGGAAATTAAAGGGAAGAAAAAAGATTTTGGGGAGGTTCAACTAAGGGTAACCTAACTCTTAAAGAAGTTTATAAATCTTTTACAAACCTAGTAAATTGAGACCAAGTGCTTTAGTATATTAGTAAATCATGGGGCATGATATACTCGAAAAAAGTTAAAATTTTTTTATGGCTTCTCATTCTTGATAAATTACCAACAAAGGTGAACATAATTATAAGAGGTTTTCAAATCTCCCCAAATTTCTCTTTTTGTGGAGATTCTAAGGATCAAGACCATCTAACAATTAAATGTAATGTGGCTAAGCAAGTTTGGAGCTTAAGGGAAACAACCATAGCAAGACCCTTCATAGAGTCTGGATGGAATTTCATAGGATGGTGGAAAAAATGATAGATCACATGGTGGATTCAATGGATCCTTTATTTCGGGAAAAAATTAGCTTCACCCATTGGTTTCTCCACCAAGGGCTGTTGATAAGAATGCCCAACCCGACCAAACCGACCAACCCGGACCGACCCAATCCGAGTCGGTCGGGTTTTCATCAGTACCGATCGGTTTTGGGTTGGGAAAATATATAAACCGATATATCGGGTCGGTTGGGTTGGACTGAAGGTCAACCCAGGCTCAACCCTAAAGGTGGAAACCTCGGACTTGGGAATGGCCGAACCCAAGATTAAGCCCAAGTTTATAAACCCAGGCCCAACCTGAGCATAATCGAACACAACTCAAGTTGCACTAGGTCGTGTTAATCATGCTTGGACAGGTTGGTTACATTTGAAGGAATTTATGTATATATTTTTACATAATCATTGTTTAATGGGATTTATCCTTTAGAACCCAATCTAAGAGTAGAATTAATTGAAAATTTGTATAAATTTCATTTACATACTTTATACATATACACACATATATGTAGTTAAAAAATATTTTATAAAAATCTAATACACATATGTATGATTTTTTGTTGGGTCGGGCTCTGGATACTCAAGGCCTCAACCCAAGCCCATCCCAAGTTTAGGTCGGGCCCAAGTCTTTTTGGAATAGGCCCAACTTGCAGCTCAAAAGCTCAAGCCCAACCCATGCAAAAACTCAGATTGGGTCAGCTTGGTCTCTTGTTGGACCTGCCAAAGTTGCACCCTTAATGATGATAGTATATAATATGTTTTCCCACAATTTTCTACAATTTTTTATATTTCTATATCTATAAAAATTATTCTTATATGTTGCATTTATTTTTGTTTAATATGATGAATATATGATTTTTGAGAAGTGCTCAAATGTTTTCTACAATTCTTTTATGTTTTACATTTTTGTATATTTTCATGTTTCAATTATTATTATTATTATTATTTAACTATGACATCAAGGGTTGACACATTGTGGGGCGAGTCACTACCAAACAAGAAAACAACTCCGTTCCTGAGTTGGTTTTATATTTGTATTTTATCTCTACCATCAATGAAAACATTTATTCTTTGTTACACTAATTTTTTGTTTAATATGAGGTGCCTCGTCACAACTGGCTATGAACAGAGGGAATGCCAATCTCCCATAGGTAGGTGTCGTCAGTCTTGGGGTCTATCCTCCATTCGTTATAGTATGAGTTTCCATTTCATGCTCATCGCAAGGTGTTGATAGTGCATTGGGCTCTTGCGACATCATTTTATGTTCATCGCAAGTCTCAGGTGACGTTGATTGCTTATCTCAGGTCTGGGGAGGTGTTTTATGTTCATCGATGGTCTCGGATGGCACTTCATGCTCATTGCAAGTGTAGGATGGCTTTTTGTGCTCATCGCAAGTGTGTGGACCTTACACTACTTTGATAAAGTATTGTTGTGCCATTTTAAAGGTGTCCAGGTTGGGAGTTCTCTGTTTTTCTTTTGACATTCCCACCGTAGTCCCGGTGATTGTGAACTACATGTACTTACAGTATGTTCAGAGTTCAATTGTATGGCCCAATTGGTTCCAAGGTGTTAGGATCAAGAGGATTTGGATTGCAGGTGTTTAGGCCAACAAGAGGGCTAAATGTAATCTTGTCTTGATGGAGGGGAAAATGGAGGAATCTTGAGTTGAAATTCCATAGGTGGGGATTTTAGGATGTCTAGGATTTGATGGTTGTGTCTAATCTAAGGATCGAGGTGCAGATGGTGGTTAATCGAAGATATTGGATTGGTATCAAGCATATTTAATGATAGATTCAGGGGCTTTGGGACTAAAATTTATGTTCTTTGGGTTTTTTGGTGTTTCAAAGGGATTAGAAAGGTTTGGTCGAGTATTTAGGGTGGATTGTGGTTTAGACGGCTTATTGAGCAAAAATTGGGCGTTGACAGCTGGAAATGTGTGCATCAATATACATGAAAAATTTTGAATTTTGTGGGGCCACACTATCCCTAATCAATCTAATGCATTATATTCATGAGTTATTGAAGTTTAGCTCATTTAAAGCCCAATTCAGCTTGGTCAAAATCGAGTTTCAAGTCAAATTTGGGCCTAATATAAAGATTTGTTTGCTAATCTAGCCAAACTCGGCCCATGAGGCTCGAGAGCCTAATCGAGTTTATATATAATATTTTTATTTTTTATATATCTATAATTTTTATTTTTTATAAAAAGATTGGCTCACAGTCGAGCTCGAACTGATCCAAACCCTAACATATGAGCTTTTAAGTTGAGTTAAATTCAAACTCAAGTCTCTAGTGTGAATCGAGCTCGAACCTCATGGATTTTTTGGCAAACCGAACTCGAATAGATAGATATTTGACTTAACTATACTCAAATCCACCCCTATCTATCAAATAAATTACTAGAATGACAAAATGAAAAAGTAAAGGTAAAAAGGTAAGAGATTTATGTATTTTACACACGGATTACATGGAGGGAGTTATTTCAATATTTAATTAGATCATTAATAGTCTTAACTGCTTACATGTGGCACCATATTGAAACACTCATGTCAATTATCATTAAACCTTTATTCACCTACTTACATTAAAGTGAATAACCTTTCACATTGCCCCATTGTAAGACTCATAAACAGTCCTTATCAATTGCCTCTAAGTTAAATATCCCAACTACTTGTGGACCACCTACCTCTATAATCGTGGAATTATTATAAACAGCATGGATTTTCCATTTATATATATGATATAACATGGCATCCACAAATCATCATTTTGGTTAAAGCGGCTACCTTATTTATCCAATAATGGATTATATTCCTTCTCCTTGTTTCTTGGGCCAGTTCCTAACACTCTTAATTCCTTTTCTTTCCCACCTCAGTCAAGGTGCTCTTGTCCCACCTCAGAAGAACATAACCGTCCCGGCCGTCTATGTATTTGGAGACTCAATTGTTGATACAGGCAATAATAACTATCTTTTCTCTGTGGTAAAGTGCAATTTCCCGCCCTATGGCAGGGACTTTATGGGTGGAAGAGCAACAGGAAGGTGTAGCAATGGACGGCTCCCCTCAGATTTACTTGGTAGTATCACTAAATTAATTTCTTTTCTCTTTATTAATTAGCTTTCTCTTTAGAGTTCAAATCAGCCCCCCACAACGTCTTACATCACATCCCCGCCGTATATTAAGAACATCTCCTGATGATAATACCAAAAATGATGATATCATTATCGGGATATGTTCCCATATATACGGTGGAGATGTGCTGTGGAACGTTGTGGGGGACTGATTTGATCTCCTCTTTATTGGTTTAATATAATTTCTATATATCATTCAGTAACTATGCTATATAATTGTATATATTGAAAAAATAACCATTCACTCTTTTGCGTTATACATCAAATCATCAAAAATTAAATATAAATAAAATTTTAAATATATTTTGATATATATAATATAAACAATATTTAATATATATAATTGAGAGAGGCTGAACAAGAAAATTTGCCATCACTATTAATTTGGTGTTATAAGTATACCATTATTTGAACAACATGAATCAATCAATTGATCTCGGTACAGAATTTGGGTGGCTGAGATTATTGGACTGCGCGCATCAGTCATTCAAATGTGGTTCTATAACTTTTGTTGATGGTTGATGGTTCTTGTCGATAGAACCTTTAATGGGCTTATATTATATGGTGAAGCCAGTTTAAGGCAGCTTTCCCCCAAAACGATGGCCAATGAACCAAGTTGACATCAACAATATCTAAAACTAAGTCATGGAGGGGTCTTGTTTAGACCAAACACAGTCATTACATGCATCGACTCTACATCCCAATCCAGGTCCTTGACATTTTTTAAAATCGGTCACGGCCGGGCTTGCACACCGGTCAATCTAATCCTCAAACATAGGCCCGGACCCAGCCCTACACACGGGCGGCCCTGGTCTTGTCGAATTCAGATTGGCGCCCCATAGAGGATGCCCCACATAGACATATCACCATGTATTAGAAACATCTTATGTATATGTTATGGCGATATGTTCCCAATACATGGTTAGAATTAGACCTGTTCATGGGCCGGGCCGGGCCGGGCTCGGGCCGGGCTTTGACTCTTTATTAACAGAAAACTGTTAGGCCCGAGCCCGACCTGACCAACGGGCCTATAACTTGGGCCCGAGCTCGGCCCTGATAAAAAGCCTGAAGCCCGAGCACGAGCCCGAAGCCTGACCTAATAAAAGAAATTCAAAATTTTCCCTATTCAAATGGACATTTTTTATTTTAATTTAGATGTTTTTTCCCCTATTTAAATGAACAATGAGCCTACAAGTGAATCAATGACCTTCTCAAATCAAAAAATTTATTCAAATAGACATCACATAGGGTTTTTACTTAGGTTTAACTATAGGTCGGGCCGGGTTTACTTAGGTTTAACTATAGGTCGGGCCGGGCTATTTTGGCAAAGCCCGAGCCCGGCTCGAATTTTATGCGGGTCGGGCTTTTTGGCCCGAGGTTAAGCCCGCGGGCCAAAAAGCCTGTTCAAGCCCGTCCGGAGGTCGGGCCACCTGGCCCATGAACAGGTTTAGTTAGAATGTGCTGTGGGGCACGTGGAACGCTGATGCGAACTCGGCCTTGTGGACCTCTACAAGACTATGTTTAATATTCATCCATAATGCATTTGATAAATTCGCACTAGAACTGTAAAGTGGGTCAGGCTACTTGTGGGGAGGTATAGCCCGGTCATTGTAGCAAGTGGGCCAGGCTTGACAAATTCTCATGAGATTGTATCATACTGAGATAGGGTTTTGAGGCCCATGGACAGTCGGACCAGCAAAGTGTGAGATTAATAATTAGGCCATGCCGAACGTAAATTTCCCTTTTTTCGAAAAAGTACACTGCACCACACTGCAGAATTTTAAATTCCATTGCAACCCTACACAATTCAAAATGAAAAACACTCCCACTTTAAAACACCTATATACCTTGTGGGGCTAAGAATTCTTAGGGTGTTCTGAATAACCATTTTCCATTTTTTCTTCCTTTCTTTTCTTTAATTTTTCTTATGCTCATTCGACGTCGATATTATTGTAAGAAAGAGAATTCGTTTTCCATAAAAATTTTCACCTAGCAAATTAGGAATTAAGGAGACTTTGCCCGCCTATCTTGATCCAAATCTGCAACCTGAAGATCTAGTCACCGGCATAAGCTTCGCTTCGAGCTCCACCGGTTATGATCCTCTCACGGCTAAAGTATCGGTATAAACCTCCACCTTTTCCTAATCATCATCCCTCTTTTTATCTTCATTCAATTCCTTCAAATCCCAAGTTTCTTGATTTTTCTTTTCTCTCCTTCACTTAATACTTTTCTTCCAAATTAACTCTTTTACTTCTTTTTATCTTCTTCTATCAAATTATCAGTCGGTGTTATCATTGTCGGATCAATTGAAGTTGTTCAAGGAGTACAAAGACAAGGTGAAGACGCTTGTTGGAGAGGAGAGGAGTGCAACCATCATCTCCCACAGCCTATACGTTGTTTGTGCAGGGAGCAATGATTTTCTGATAACGTATTTTACGACACCGTTGAGGAGAAAGAAATACGACGTCCCGGCCTACACGGATCTCATGCTCCGATCAGCTTCTTCATTCCTTCAAGTAAGTAGCTCCAGTTTATTTTACAGGAACAAGATTCTCGATCGAGTCCCAAATAAAATAATATAATGTAGTTAATTAAATTAATCAAGGATGGATGACATTCAGAAACTGTATGGTCTCGGAGCAAGAAGGATTGCTGTGTTTAGCATTCCGGCGGTAGGGTGTGTGCCGACGGCGAGATTCATATTTGGAGGAGGACAGGGAGGGTGTGTAAAGAGTGTGAACCAAGCGGGAGAGATATTCAACGCTAAGCTATATTCCAAGCTGGATTCGCTAAACAACAAGTTTCCACAAGCAAGGATGGCTTATATTGATGTCTACTTTCCTTTCCTCCGTCTTAATCAAAAGCCTCACGATTATGGTAATCGATTCTTTTAAATTGTTTCATATATAGTAGGTATTTGGAACTGATGAGTGTTTTCTTGAAAGAAACACTCAATGTTTGATTGGACATTTTTTAAAAAAGAAATATAATAAGTAGGTGTTCGGCATTGGTAGAGGTGTAAATCGGGCCGTACGGGCACGAATTTGGACAAATTCGGCATGACGGTCTGTGGGCCATGCCAGGCCCGGCACAATCATGCGGGCCGTACTGGGCCTATGGTTTTAGGTCCACGGACCGGCATGGCCCAGCCCATGGCACGGCCTGACATGGCCCAAATATATATTTTGTATATATTTATATTATATATATATATATATATATATATATATATATATATTTATATTATATATATATATATATATATATATATATATATATGTATATATATATATATATATATATGTATATATATATATATGTTTATATATATTATGCATATTTATTAATTTATAATATATATATATATATTTGTATATATTTATATTATATATATATATATATATATATATATATATATATGTTTATATATATTTTATTATATATTATTATATAAATTATATATTTATATATATTATATAATAATATATAGTATATAATATATTAATAAAATAAATATTTTTTTTTAATTTTATTATACTAATTTATTTAATTATTGTATATATAAGCAATTGTATACACAAAATTCATATAAAATTAAAATTTTAAGTTTTTTATCAATTTTTTTAAAGAAATAGCTTTGGCCCAATGCATGGCCAACCTGGCCCAAGGCTCGGCCCATGGGACAGCCTGGCCCGCATCACGGCACGGCATGGCACAGGCCTGAACGAGCCTCAACCGTGGGTCGTGCCAGGTTGACCCCCAAATTTTTCATCGAAGAGGGCGGCACGACCCATAACGGCCCACAGGCCAACACGACACAACTTGCACTTTGTGCAAGCCACACACGGGTCGTGCCATGCCAGCCCGGCACAAACCACTTTACACCTCTAGGCATTGGTGCTGAGAATATTACACCGTTTTCTCATAAACTATTTGAAGGTGTAAGTGGGACCTACCAATAGTATGTGGGGCCCACCTTGCAAAAATGTATGTGGGCCCAAATTAGATATTATGTAGGGCTTACCTTGAAAAATGTATGTGGGCCCACGTACATGTCCACACATGGACCCACATGCATGTCCACCAATGGCATGTGGGACCCATCTTGTAAAATGTATGTGGGCCCCACAACGTGTCGATATATGGACCCTACATACATGTCCACCAATGGTATGTGGGACCCACCTTGAAAAATGTATGTGGTACCCATATAAATGTATGTGAGCCCCACATACATGTCCACACATGGACCTCACATGCATGTCCACTAGTGATATGTCAAACCCACCTTGTAAAATGTATGTGGGCCCCACATACATTTTCACCAATAGTGTGGGGCCCACCTTGAAAAATATATGTGGGCCCCACATACATGTTCACACATGGACCAAACATGCATGCCCACCAATGGTATGTCAAACCCACCTTATAAAATGTATGTGGGCCCCACATAAATGTCTACCAATGGTATGTGGGGCCCACCTTAGAAAATGTATGTAGGTCCTACATATTAAATGAAAGGTTTGTTGGCCCACACACAAGACACTCATATATACATAATACATATATTTTCATCATATTACCAAACGGTCTTCTAGCTTTAATGGTCTTTCCTAAGATCTATGAAAAAAAATTCAACCAAACAGTCTTTAGTCTTCCAAGATCTATTTGCAAAAGCTCATCCTGTCTTTTAACTATCAGATCTTGTAATAGATCTTCTGTAAAAGACTTGACAAACAGGCACTCGGTTAAAGGCTGATTTGAACAATGTTTTAGGAAACAACTTGGAACCGGTTTTTGGCCAGGGATCGAGTTTTGGGTATAAAACGGAATCGGTTGCCTATAAGGGTGGCCACGAGCTGAACTTTTTACAAGCTATTTGACTCGGTTTAAATCAAGCTTCGAGCTGAATTCGAGCCCAATATATAGGCTAATTTGCTAATCGAGCCGAGCTTGAGCCCAATGAAACTTAACTCGTGAGGCTTGCGAGCCTTGTATTAAATAAATAATTTTTATTAGCTCATGCCTGATACTATTCCTACAAGCCAAACTCAAATAACCAAGTATTCGACTCGACTTGACTCGAATCCACCCCTAATTGCTTGAATGGTTCTTAGGCCGAACGGTCTAACCGTCTAGATCAACCATAAATTTGAATGTGAGCAAAAGTGTCAGAGGCAGAACATGCATGGCTGAGTTGCACTGTTGATTAATTGTAGTACCTTGGTCTAAAGACCGGTGGAGTACTTGTTTTCTATGACCACTCCGCCACTCACAAAACTTAAATCTCACATGTATGGTACAAAGTCATTTAACGTCATGGACCCATGGTTGCCTCTCCTCATATCTTCCAGTTTCTTAATCATGGTTTTGGGCTGAAGCGGCTATGAACCGAGGTTCTATTTTATGTCAATTGTTCATGGCCATTCCTTATGTTTGAGGCCTTCGCCTGTCAAAGATTTCCCAAATATATCTGCAAAACCAGAGAGGTGGATGTTATCGATGAAAATAGGTACACGCAGGTCAAGGCTTTGCAATGTAGGGTTGTGTCTTGGTTAAAGGAGTTAGATAGAGCTTTTCTTCAATGGGTTTTTACTCTTTCGTTTTTCTTATATCAAACTAGCAGTCAAACCTATTTCTCACTCGCTTTTGGTACAGGACAAGGTGCTCTTCCATTAACAATGCAAAATCGTGGGATGTCATGTGTGAAGTTATTAAACGGCGTGGTTGTGTCTGCTGTTTTATCCCCTTTTCTCATTTTTTCAAATGTATAAGATATAAAATAATGGTATAAGTGAGAAATAGGTTGAGTTGCTAATTTAACATAGGAAAAACAAAATAGGAAAAACCCATCGAATAAAAAGCCCTACTTCTCTTTTATTTTCAATATGAAAAAAAAAATCCTATGGTTGTGTTTGTTTGCATTTGGTAAGAAAATAAAAATCGACTCAGAGATCTTACTTAATAGCTTAAGCTTTTAGATTGAACGGTTTTTTGAGATGGTACCTAAGCTTGTTTGACCATGTTGTCACAAGTGACCATTTTGTTGCGTCTTCAAGTGCCATCACCACGCCCACAGCATGCCATCAGATTGTCCAAGTGTATGTCTTGGGTGGGACATTGCATGTATTTTGTATGGGGGATTGCCAATGGCATTATTGTAATTCTGTAATATGATTTTTCACCTTTTTTATGTTTCTTATTGTCATTCCCCCAAAAGCTTAACATACTCTTTGAGGGGAGGTAAGTAGTCGAGTGAGTCAATAGCGTGTAAAGGTTAAGCACGAGATCCCCTCGACACTAAACTGTGTGCTTGTGCTTACCATCAATTAATGCAATACAAGTAGCCTTTTGACTAATTTGTGTGCCTTCTCATTGCCTTTTGTGTGTTGTTGCTTGCATTCGTAGGCTTTCTTGACCCCATCGAGCACCGCACGGGGCCTCGTTGACTAGCCCCGTGACAGTTGGTATCAGAGCAGGAGCTCCTTCCTATCCATTCGACCCGCGACGTGAGTGACAGTATGAAGTACAACAGGGACATCATGGAGGAGATCGAGCATGGACTCTCCACATCCCATGAGCCTGACGATGCACCCGCTGACGACATCGGCAAGGACAAGGCACCAAAGCCTAGCAAACATGAGAAATCTACCAACAAGCATGCAACCATTGACTTGTGCATGCTACGTTGCGAAGCTACTGTAGGTGAGATGTGAGATTCAGTAGACGAGCTACACCAAAACATGGAAGCCATGGAGAATACACTGGTGGAAGTGGAAGGCCACCTAAGCGGAGTCATGGATGAGGTCCGCGACATACTCAATGGCACGCTCAAGAAAATCTGCAGCACCGCGCGCCAATAAGAAGGAAGCTCATCCAACTCGCATGTCCAAGACAAGCTTGACAGCTTTCAAGCCCAACTCAATGAGATGAAGAGAGAGTGGGCAACGTGGAGAAGAACCATCTCCACATCAATGGCCACTCAGGCCGAACTGAATGAGATGAAGACTGAATGGGCAGCTTTGAAGTCTACCCTAAACATCTCTGTTGATGTCCAAGCTCAACTTGATGAAATCAAGGGGGAGTGCGCCATCATGAAAAGAGCAATTGCCAACCCAGCCAGCACCTCAGCCTTGCACACTCCTTCCTACATCAAGATTCGGGAGCCAACGCCCTAAACACCTCCGTTGATGTCCAAGCTCAACTTGATGAAATCAAGGGGGAGTGCGCCATCATGAAAAGAGCAATTGCCAACCCRGCCAGCACCTCAGCCTTGCACACTCCTTCCTACATCAAGATTCGGGAGCCAACGCCCTAAACACCTCCGTTGATGTCCAAGCTCAACTTGATGAAATCAAGGGGGAGTGCGCCATCATGAAAAGAGCAATTGCCAACCCRGCCAGCACCTCAGCCTTGCACACTCCTTCCTACATCAAGATTCGGGAGCCAACGCCCTAAACACCTCCGTTGATGTCCAAGCTCAACTTGATGAAATCAAGGGGGAGTGCGCCATCATGAAAGAGCAATTGCCAACCCGGCCAGCACCTCAGCCTTGCACACTCCTTCCTACATCAAGATTCAAGAGTCAACTCCCTATTCGAGCACTCGCAATGCACGAGAGCTCGACAACTTCTTGTGGCAAATGGAACAATACCTTGCTGTAGCCAATGTGGTTGATGAAAGGACTTAGGTACATACATATACAATGTATTTAACTGATACAGTTACGCTGTGGTGGCACATAAAGTGTGTTGACATAGGACATGGTACGTGCACCATACATTCATGGGCCGATTTTAAGGGAGAGTTGAAGAGGCAGTTCTATCCAGAGAATGTGGAGTTCCTTGCCCGCCGAAGGAAGAAATCCCTCAAGCACGGTGACTCACTCCACAAG